CGCTGCTCTCTCCCCTCTCTTTCGCACGCTTTCTCTCTCTTCTCTCGTCAAAAAAAGTAAAAAAATCGTGATATTTAGAAAAACAGGCTTCCTCGCTATCAAAGTTCTTACGCAGCGAGTTTATAATATTCGACGGGAAAGACTAGAAAGATCCGTCGTGATGGATTCACTCACGTATGCGCGCAGCGCTGTGAGAAAACCCGCCTGTCAGCCTTTACTAGCTTATATTATTACCTCTTGTGATAAGCCGTAGTTTTCATGATTAAGTTTATTTTAGGAAAGCTTTCACGCATTCCGTCCTACCTGTTTGGATAGAGTACTCCTATGGATTATTCGTTTTTGCGATTTAGGGGAAAGCTTACTAGAAGAGTAACATGTTGTCAATAGGCTTGTTGCTCGAACATGTGTATTCGAATTTTCTGTTCAATCGAAATTGACAACGTCTCATAAATGCATTTATTGCCTTACGCTAGTCTTAATGATTGGCAGGTCGTATTAGGTCACTGCTAATGAATTTCAAGCCATAGGGGGCGTATGACAAATATTGGTCAGGACAATTAGGATTCACGGGTCGACGCGCGCAAATATCCGAAGAGCCATCTTAGAGTACAGAGTGGGTGTTTGCAGACTGTTACCGCGTTAAGTAATGCCTCGTCGGTTTGCTTGTGCACTTTTTTGTGTGCATCTTATTTTGAGAGGCTATTGGATTACGAAAAGCGTTCAGCTGTTCTGTTTATCTATCGATAGTTCGTGCTCGCGTGCGTGCGTGCGTGTGTATCCGCGCATCCTTTCGCCTGTCCCTCCATCCGCCCGCTAATATTTGATGGTACAGCTTGTAAGCTTGTGATGTCTTTATGCATCTCTATTCCGTATACTGTTTACCTGTATATTACACAATAAAGTCTACTGTACGATAAAGACGTTTGTGTATTGTGCCGATTACGCTACGATTTGTGCGATCAGTATTCGAACCATCATCCTATTGCGTTGTTTTTTTCGAGTACATCTTCTACTAGGTTTTTTTCTCCAGTTGATGAGCGGCGCCGCAAAAGTTGACTGAAGTGATAACCAATTCTGGCGTTGAAAGCGTCGTGGCGTACACCATTATAAGCTTTGTGTATATGCCTAGCGGTTTAAAGTGCGTCCATCGATTAACCGTCGATTCGCCTTCGCGTCTGCGAGCGTAAAATAGATACAATTTCCCAATTTGCAATTTTGTAATCAGGAGTTCTACGCGCTGACATTCGCTCTACAGAGGACAACACGAGGTGATCACGTGACGTGTTATAGCAGACGCCGCTCGTTGGGGCCAATGTCCTGCCGTTGCGCAACACATATATCCTTCCTGTTGTGGGAATATGAAGGCGTCATTCGATGTTAAATGATATGATAGGCATCAGACAAGCACCTGATGTGCCAATATTCCTGTCGTTAGTACGCTGGCGGCGAGTAGGGGCAGTTATTGCCTCAGCGTCATTTGTGATATACTTGTGTGTGTGTGTGTGTGTGTGTGTGTGTGTGTGTGTGTGTGTGTATGTGTTTGTGTGTGTGCACGTAGGCTCGTAGCCAAGAAAGGGTCGGAAGGGTCAGACGACCCGAGCTTTCTTGACAGCCAGTGGTCCGCTCTTTCAAGACATTTATTTGCCCAATTATCTGAAGTCTAAACATTTTCTAAACTATACATTGTTACAATTTTCTTCAGTGAAATGAATAATTATGCTTACAGAATTAGGTTTGTGTACCGAACAGATCTACAAAAAAAAGGATAAACGTTTATCCCTTATCTGTATAGACAGCTCCAGGCGATATGCAAACTAGTAGGTCTATATATTATATCAAGAGCGTATAAAGGATATATATTATTTGCATATCGCGTGGATCAGTTAGCTGTCAGAAGCGACATGTGCCACGTAGCTTCAAACGTCCTACGCGGAGCAGTCGCCTGCTTTCCAGAAATCGGAACGATTTGGAATTCTGCCGGTATGCAGTTTGTCTGATGTGATCATGAAAATGCCCCGATTAGGCGGTGAACACAATAAAGTGCGCAAGGATATTTTTTTAATACGTGCCGTGTAAGCGATGTTATTTGAGACCCGATAAAGCAGAACCACTGGATATTAATTTAAGCGCAGCTGCCCGAAGCAGTCTGGATAGCAGGGCGTGTAACAACTGGTAACCACCATACGCAAACGAATAGAAATGTTGAGAGAAGCCATAGAACAGAAGGAAATGACATAGAGATCTTACTCTAAACCGCCATATATTACAAAAGGGAACCAATTGCGCGATTAATCCGTAGTATTGGAATAATAGTAACCAGCAAAACCAACACTAAAACCGAGTCGATATTCGTTGGTTTCTATAAGTGGTTTTCGTAACTGATTTAAGGTCAGCGTACCTTGTTGATAGAAAGACGTGATAATCAGTGCACGCGAAAAGGTGAGTGACAAAATAACAACTGATATGGCGCGTGATGATGCAAACTGAATAACGTACCTACTGGAATGGCACACGCAACGGCTGCACGTTAATTTTTCTTATAATCTAATTCATTTGTTCAAGCAAACAGATGCACACGTATCCATGACGTTTTAAGAGAAGAATTAACACCGACGCAAAAGCTTACAAAGGATACTACAGTTTCACACAATATCATTTATTGCCACATCGTAACTAAATTTCATACAATAAAATACTTTGTTAACTATCTCCTAGCTAATCAACTATGACGCCCGTGTACGTTTCGCATGTCACAGAATATTCACATTGGCTAGGAGTCAAAAATATAAGGCAAGGCCATCTGATACGAGTGGACGACATACAACAGCTAATATCATGCACCGCATGATCACTAGGGGATTTAATCCTGTATTTGATACCTTTTTATTTCCGGACACAGTTTTTTTTTAATAAGTATCACCTTTATTATTATCATCTATTACTAATTTCAAGGCATTTCTGTATTAACATAAAAATTACTTAGATTTAAAGGTTAGTCAACACACTGAAATGCATTTTATGATTAATGCAGCATCGTGTAATTGTATACAGTAAAACTCGCATAAGACGCCATCCTCTAACTCGTCAATTCGCTTAAGTCGTCATGGAAGTCAAAGTCCCGATTTTCTCTAATGATAAAATCCATTTGAATAGCCCTGCCAAAGTCGTCATTTACAAGCCGTCATTATATGTACAAGTCGTCGCCCTCAGACAGGTCCCATATAATACAAACAACAGTAAAATTCTATCTGTATGTCATCATCAGAAATGCCGATGGCGCAGTGTATGCACTATGCAGCCCAATGTACAGTGAATTCCTGGTAAAATGATGACTCATTGTTTCGCGGAAACACATATGCAGACTCTCTCTAAGTCGTCAAAATGACGATATGCATGCATAAGTCGTCATTTTGGTGACTTACACTGTTACACATAAGTCGACAAAACGACGACTTACACGTCATTACCGTAAGTCGGCACAAAAATGCTGGTCCCAAAAGTGCCGACTTATGCGAGTTTTACTGTACACTTGTTACGTTATATTAGATTGCATAAACCTGCCTATGTTATATTATATATGCAACACATATCAGGAATCTATATAGAAACGTGATAACTTTATGACAGGTGAGGTGGACTTTGAGCATATTAACTTATTACTTCGTGATCTATGAAATCTGTACACATGAACACATGGCCTGCAATGGCAATGCTTGAAGTTGAATCAATACTGCAAAAATCCTCATCCTAACAAAGTCATTCCTAGCTGATTTTGTAGATGTTCTTTAATAAGATTGGTAAGATTCTGACGTAGTAACAGATCGCCAGCCACCAACGCTCCTAAGTTTACAAAGTCTGTATATTCCATGCGCCGCAGAATGATGATGACCTTGTTGTAGATCTGTTGCTGCTGAGCTGGTTTCATGTCTCGTATAACTACTGCAGCAGATTGGATATTGTCTTCGGCTGCGCAAACGCCTATCACTGCACCAAGAGCAGCACCTAGGATAGCAATATATACACATATTTGGGTGGGCCCGGCGAAGAGAAAGCGTGGCTAAAAAACAAGGTAAATAAAACAAAGGGCATTCAATAATAACGAGCCTTATTATGTACCTATTATATATTACTAGCGGGATACCCGGCGTTGCCCGGGGAAATCAGTGGCGTTACTCAGTTGGTGACCGCTTGGTTGAAAGGAAAATACCCAAAAAAACTCTAACTATCTATCTATCCATGCATCCATCCATGCATCCATTCCATGCCATCCCATCGCACCGCATCACATCGCATCTCATTGGGTATTTGTCCTAGAACCATATATATATATATATATAATATCGCAGAATCACATCATAAAGAAACATGTATATAGAGCAACCCTTAAAGCATGTGAAACATCAGCGAGACATTTGGCAATTCCTCTGAATCTGGACCATATTATGTACTTCATATGGAGCGCGAACGATCTCACCCCGTCAATTTAAAATTGACCCTAAACATACACCCATAGTTTCGTAAAAAAAAAAATCACGGGCTTTTATAGCCCCATCGTAATTAAAATTATGATGTCATATCTACGAAACCACCCCTAAAGGGCCCTGGTTTCTGCCCATGGTCATGATTAGTTAACTTATCACAAGATAGATGTCGCCACGTACAGCTTCACAGTCATATTTATAAGCAAACAACCACTAGAGCATATCACTGATTGTCTAATTTAACGTAGGCTACGTTTACCAATTATTTGATACATAAAACAAGAGTACTACCTAGCTAAATAACTCCACGATGTTAGCAAGATAAGCTCGATCATGAAATAGATAAATTATATCAGGAGTTAATGAAGACAAACCTTTGTCTTCATTAACTCCTGATTATATATAATTATCCGACCAAACACGCGACATGCAGATAATCTGATCGCGCAATGATTAATTCGACCAACCGCTAGCTACTTGCATATACTTACTTGTACTAGTACACTTCAATATACTCACTTGCACTCGTGAACTCGTCGTGTTCTTCTTGGATTCGCCTGCGTGCCCGTTCGATTTGCACGTTCCGAGTGATTTCGGTATCGTGCTCGTAAAGAGGATCTTCCCTATAAGCCCATAGAGAACGCAAGAGAGCAGTAGTGGGATGACGTAGAACAGCACGAAGTCCCCCAGGTAAATCCACGTATACATCTCGCGACTGAGTTTGAACTCGCAGCTCTCCTTCGACACGCCCTTGTACGGCAGCGGCATTGTTCTCGTCAGCGGCAACCAGGGGGCGCAGTAGAGGATTGCGAACGCCCACAGGCCGATGATGATCTTCTTGGCGCGCTCCATCGTGCAGACGACCTGCGCCTTCATCGGGTGACAGATCGCGATGTAGCGCTCGATCGTGAAGGCAGTGATCGACAGCGACGACACGTTGATGCCGAGGTACTGCAGAAACACGAGCAGAGAGCATCCAATCTTGCCCCAGATCCATTCGCCGACGAGCAGGTAATAGCCGATGACCTCGTTCGGCACGGCGGCGAAGAGCACGAGGCAGTCGGCGATGGCGAGACTCACCAGGTAGCAGTTTGTCGGCGACTGCATGCTCTTCGTTCGGCGCACGACGACGACGACCATCACGTTGCCGACGACGCCGACGAAAAATATGATGATGCCGAACACGGTTCCGATGATGCGATAGTTTGTCGCAAAGTACTTCGGGTCGCTACTGTTTGTCGCGGCGACGGCGTCGTCTGTCGCGTTGCCGTAGTGCGCGTACATCGAGCCGACGTCGTCGTCGGGCGTGCTGCTGTCGTTCACAAATACCTCCATCTTGCGCGTGGGCACCTCTACACGAGCGTTATTGTCACGGGACCAGCGTATCGCGTCTCACTCGCTGCCGACGGTGGCTGTGTGCGGGTAACGGTGACGACGACGATGACGATAGCGATGCGTTAGCCGCTTGCCGACGCGACGGTGGCGCCAGCGGCATTACTGCCGTAACCAGACGGTCGCAACGCAGTCCTATCTCAGACGGCTCTGTATCTGGAGAAAATGGAGAAATAGCGCGTATATGATCGTGTTCGGTGTTGATTTTAGAGTAATAGACCGGCCACACGACCGACCGAGCGACCGAAAAACCGAATAACCGACCGACCGAGCGAGACCAATCGACCGACCGACTGACAACCTACCATATCATATTAAGAGCATGCAAGCCATCGCATATACAGTAGAGATAGGTCGTATAGATACATAGATACGTGCCCATGGATAGCTGATCGTGACGTATACGCTATAAAAGTATTTAATCGCTGCGATGCGAGTACATTATTATAACTATTGCTAACTATACTCGATGCACGCACGCGAATCGCCCGCTCGTCTCTAACAGCCAGAAGCCGACACGAATTTGCATGCGAGAACGGCATCTAAATCCCCGAACTAACACGCGCCGGGATGCGAGCGAGTGAGATGCAAATTGCTCTCGAAGTTCAAACGGAGGTCGTTAGCGGAGCGACAATCCAAATTCAGCGGGCGCTATTAAAACTCTCTTTAAGCCGCTTGCCACGCTGTCATGCAAACAGTAGTTATTCCGTCGGCGCCTCTTAATTATTCGTGCATATTATCTGACTCTCCGCTGTGTATGGTAAACGCAGCCACTCTGTATGCATCGCACAGGCAGGCGGGCGGCGACCACATAAATTGCATTACAATAAAACCTGGGCTATGGAGACGAGCTGCACGACACAAAATCGCCACGTACCAATAATTGCAGTGAGTACTATACTTGTGGCAGATGGGGAGTGACAATGCTAGAGAGACAGGGTGGGGTGTGGTAGTGCGAGCGGACGCAATGGTATGATGTATACGGGGTACAATATTAGTGTAATCGTTGAAGCAAGGCACGGGTAAATAAGTAGGCACTAAGAGGGATTGAAAGATGCGAGAGTATGTGGAGGATAACGTACAGAGATACGAAACATTTTATGGGTTATAGGTGTGTGATCAATCTAGCAGCTAGGAAAACTCATAAGAAGATCTCTATACTAATCTGTCAATCGGCGAGGTATAGTTATCGAGGACACGGAAGTTACTGTAATCAGACAGATGCTGAGGTGTAGTTGATGTGTATGCAAAGTCGACGACAAATAGATGGCTACTTAAAGTGGGACCTAAGCCGACAATCACGCTACAGTAAGACCCCACGTCACTACAACCCGGATCATGTAAATTCACATATACGTAATTTATAAATTATGACAACTCTACTCGCGACACGTAACGAAAATTCGCTCTCACGTAATCTTTTTCTTAATAAAGAAGAAGTGGGATTTTTTTCTCTCAAAACGTTGCGTGTTTAATCGCCGTAAATAAAATTTATGTGCACGTAATACGTGCAACATAACGGCAACTGGTCGGCCGGGACATCTTTGATTCGTATAATGCACCGCCGCTGTCGCATTTAATCGCATGAACAAGTTTCTACAATCAGTCCCCCTACGTCAGATATACTCAAAGTAAATGTTACGTATTTAACGAGCAGTTATTCACAACCACCTCAGCTGCCACAGACAGCTTATAAATAGAACTTATCCTGCAAACGGAAGCGAATTTAGAGCATTTTCGCTCCCAGTTTAGAACCTAAAACCTCCAAACCCGACAATAATACCGATAGCGAAAGCGATACTACTGGCAAGGGTATCTCCAGAGGGAGCAGGCTACACCCTTATCCCATCGAGGAGACCGGGGTCCGAGCCTCCGTCGATGAAAAAATCAGTGACTCGTCTGGAAACGATCTATGAAAAAAATGCGGTCGCGTTACGAGCGATTGTTTTAATAACCCGTGCAGCTTAAAGACAGGAAAAACAAAAATGTTAACAACAGTTTCTATAAAATATTATTTTTAATATATCCGTGAATTTTATTGCTTTCATTCGTACATAAAGTTGGCTCGATTCCTACCACTAATATTCATTTAACTTAAATACAACTAATAAAATTTACACACACGAGTTCTGACAGCGCGTGATACTCACAGTAAATTGCAGCATTATTGAGCATACGCACCCACGCACACACATGTACGCGCGTTCAAGTACACGTCAAAGTGCACATAAACTCATACACGCACATACACGCGTGCGTGCACGTGGTACACGTATGCGCATACGTGCTGAAGGCAGGTACACGCTGTCGTGTATTTATACTCACAAGGAGTTTGAGTGCGCGAGTATGGACAAATCTGGTGCGTTTAACAGAATCTGGACAGTCCAATGTTCTCGTGGCACCACGATTATATCCTGCTATAAACAGTAAAGTTGTCATTATAAACCTTGAAGTTTGAGAAAAAAATTGAATCGTACGAAGATTAAAAGAGCCTCTCGGCTCTAATCGCCTCTACTGTGCGAGTCCCACCTAACGCGACCTTATCCTAGCTGCCAGTGAACAATATCTGGTGTCACCCTTGCCAGCTGATAGCAGTACGTGTCTCGCCATCTCTCTCTCTCTCTCTCTCTCTCTCTCGCTCTCTCTCTCAATATTATTATGACATTGTGAAGAATCTTCAAATAATCAATATGTGCATTTCGCATGTTTACTTGTATTCATAATTGTCATTTCGTAGTAGTTAAGCCTTTCTATAAGAAAATCTTTCCCAGGAAGCATCTTCAGTCAATAATGCCAGTCAAAAGAAAAACGTAATAATAGCCGTTTCGGATTTTCGCATTACGAATCATTTCGTTTTGGAACGCATTATTTGCGTAACGGAGTTATTGCTGTATTGCACGTTGCATAGACAAATATCCACGGCCAATGTTGGCGGCCTGTGACATCCGATACAACAGTCTTGAATCGTCCGTGACTATCGGCGGTCGGTTACATGTAGAAAACTGCTAGTTTCATGTTAGGCAAACCAGCAGTTGATACGGACCCCTGTTTTCCTCAAGCTCGATCCAAAATTTCAGTATGATTACAGTACGTGTGAGCACTTGGTAACTGATATCGTAGAGACGTAGGTAGGCTAGTTCTACATAGGTTCTCACTACCGACATCCGATACTACGATTACCGATAAATCTCGGTTCGCTAATTAGATTTATCGATCAGATATTAATAGAGAAACTATGTGTGCGCATTGACGAACATTATTGGAATTGAAGCCTTGGTGCCGATCTCAAACTCATTCTCGTAAATCACTATAAGAGCAAGCTGGTAAATGCATTTCGCTGATCAATTGCTAGCACATTCTCACAGGAATACACGTAAAAAATAACATTAAGGCGAGATTGAGTGGAGAGGTCATCTTTGAATATTTTAAACATCGATTTCTGATCCTTGGGTTTAGTGAATACCAAGTATTACCGGTGCGCGAATAGCGATTAACCTTAACACCCGAAAAAAAATTGGTTAATTCGCAGGGGCTAAAACACCCTCCGCTGCCGCGATGGATCATTCTATTCATGCCACGTTTCTGACGCGCGATCTCTCGGCATCGCTGTGAACTCTTCAGGTCACTGATGAATAGTTATTAGGCTGATTGCGAAAGATTCAGCATAATTCGCTAGAGCAGAGGTGGCTGGAGACGCGAGAACTCCCTAGAAACTGATGTACCTGTCACCGCGCAGCCCATCGATGATTTCACAACACGCGCTCAGCTGACATCGCAAAACGCACAGAATTAAACCGCGAATAAGCGGTTTGTAAACACGAGGCTTAGGTTAACGAGGGGTATAGAGAAGGGAGATAGAAAAGAAAGATAAAAAGATCGAACGAGGAGACGAGACAAAAGATAGAGCGATAACGAGCGAGCGCACGATAGAAAGCCAGAATACGAGTGAGAGCAGGAGAATGAGGAGTGGGAGCGCGAGAGAGTTAGATTATTAGTTATCGGGAGAGTAAAAATGACAAATAAGACAGCCCGACAGACATACAGACAAACACACAGTCAGTTAGTCAGTCAGTCAGTCAGTCAGTCAGTCAGTCAGTCAGTCAGTCAGTCAGTCAGTCAGTCAGTCAGTCAGTCAGTCAGTCAGTCAGTCAGTCAGTCAGTCAGTCAGTCAATCAGTCAGTCAGTCAGACAGACAGACAGACAGACAGACAGTCAATCGGTCAGTCAGTCAGTCATTAGTCAGTCAGTCAGTCCGTCAGTCAGTCAGTTAGACAGACAAACAGACAGGCAGACAGACAGTCAATCGGTCAGTCAGTCAGTCATTAGTCAGTCAGTCAGTCCGTCAGTCAGTCAGTTAGACAGACAAACAGACAGGCAGACAGACAGTCAATCGGTCAGTCAGTCAGTCATTAGTCAGTCAGTCAGTCCGTCAGTCAGTCAGTTAGACAGACAAACAGACAGGCAGACAGACAGTCAATCGGTCAGTCAGTCAGTCAGTCAGTCAGTCAGTCAGTCAGTCAGTCAGTCAGTCAGACAGACAGA